CCTCATCATGCCTTTTGGGCTGGCAAATGCGCCAGCGACCTTCCAGAACATGATGAATGATGCGCTGAGGGAATTCCTGGATCAAGGGGTAGTAGTATACCTTGATGATATCCTAATATATAGCAAGTCCCGAGAGGAACACAGGGGGCTGGTCGGCAAAGTACTTAGCAGGCTACAAGAATATAACCTGGTCGCCAACCCGAAGAAATCGTTCTTCGAGCTCACCGAAATCGAGTTCCTCGGATACATCCTTGCCCCAGCAGGCGTCACCATGGCACTGGATAAGGTCATGTCTGTTACGAATTGGCAAGCCCCGCGCAGCGTTAAGGAAGTACAGATCTTCATGGGCTTTGCCAACTTCTACAGAAGGTTTATCCACAATTTCTCCGGGGTCTGTAAACCCATTACCGATTGTCTCAGGGGTAATGCTAAGAACTTTGTCTGGTCTATGACGGCCCAAGCAGCCTTCGAAAAACTCAAAACCCTGTTTACGTCTGCGCCGATCTTGGTACACTTCTCTCCAGATCGCCAGACTATCGTGGAAACGGACGCAAGTGATTTTGCTATCGCCGCAATTTTATCCCAGGTTATTGACGGAAAGACTCACCCTGTTGCCTTTTATTCTCGAAAGCTTAACCCAGCGGAACTCAACTACGACGTCTGGGATAAGGAGATGTTAGGAATCGTGTCAGCCTTCAAGCAATGGCGTCACTACCTCGAAGGACCTAGCCGAACGGTCCTCGTCTACACGGATCATAAGAACTTGGAATATTTTTCAACAACCAAGGTTCTTAACCGACGACAGGCGAGATGGGCTGAGTCTTTGGCGGAATTTGACTTTAAGATTATTTACCGCCCGGGAACCAAAAATGGGAAGGCAGATGCACTATCGCGACGGCCGGAGTACCGTCCTGAAGAGGGAGGCACGCTTGGGAAACAGCCGATAGACAGGTTCTTTAAGCCCGGACAGTTGGCGGAGGAAGAGTTTGTGGTATCAGCGGTGTCGCTTGCCTCCAAGGGGCTGATTGACTGGTCTAAGAATTTTCTGGATCATGTCAGGCAGGCGGCATCGGGAGACCCGACATGGGTAGGAATGAAAGAAAGAGTTGAGCAAGGGGAGAAGCTGGGGGAACTGAAGGATATCGCTGAGAAAGACGGGCTACTCTTCTATAAGAACCGACTCTACATTCCGGCAGAAGACCGCATTAAGATCCGAATTGCACAGTCAGAACACGATTCGAAGGTGGCAGGACACTTTGGACAAGACAAAACCTTGGAACTCATTACGCGCAACTTCTATTGGCCAAAAATGAACGAGTGGATTGATGATTACGTTCGGTCATGTGACGAGTGCCAACGCAACAAACCCAGCCGCCATAAGAAATACGGTGCGCTTCTACCACTGTCCACGGCACATGCTGTCTGGCAATCGATATCAATGGACTTTGTCGTACAGTTACCAGAATCAAAGGGATATAACCAAATCTGGGTAGTAGTCGATAGGTTCTCGAAGATGTCGCACTTCATCCCCCTAGTAGCAGAAATGACCGCGCAGGATTTAGCGAAGATATTCCTCGGTCAAATCTGGCGACTCCATGGACTGCCTCTTGATATAGTTTCCGACAGGGACGCCAAATTTACTTCAAGCTTTTGGGCATCCCTTATGGAATTATTGGACGTGAGAATAAGAATGAGTACGGCTTTCCACCCTCAGACCGATAGGCAAACAGAGCGGGTCAACCAAACCCTCGAGCACTACCTACGAGCGTTCTGCAATTATGAATAAGATGATTGGGCAGAGCTACTCCCGTTGGCGGAGTATGCTTATAACAACTCGGTTACCACCGCCACGGGTCAGTCCCCGTTCTATACCAATTACGGTTACAACCCAAGAACCAACTGGCCGACGGAGGCCGAAGTGGTCAACCCAACCAGTGACCTGTACGCTCACTTCATCCGAGGAGTTCACGACTCTGCTCTCGCTCGCTTAACAGACACCAGGGAGAAGATGGGGAAATACTATGATCGGAAAAGGAACGAACCGCTGAACTTTAAGATAGGCGACATGGTCATGCTCAATGCGGCTAATATCAAGACCCTTCACTCCACCAAAAAGCTCGATCATAAGAAACTCGGTACGTTCAAGATTATCCGACTAGCGGGAAAAAGAGCCTGTGAATTGGAACTGCCACCACAAATCAAAATCCATAATGTGTTCCACATCGAACTCTTGGAACGTTACCGACAGAGCAGTATCCCAGGCCGCGAACAACGTCCCCCGACTCCCGAAGAGGTCGATAAGGAAGGAGAGGTTTTATATGAAGTGGAAAGTATTGTGGGAAGCCGGAAGAGCAGGAGAGGATTAGTGGAATACTTGGTGAAATGGCGGGGCTATTCGATGAGTGACTGTACGTACCAAGTCATGGACGCTATGGATGAGGAGGTACTTGACCTTGTCCGCGACTTCCATCGAAGGAACCCCAAGGCCGTGAAGGACCAACGCCTGAGACTATAGAGGTACCCCACGGGGCTAAGTCCTTCCCCTCCACAGACACCGCGGGTGATATGTGGAGCAGGTTTACTGGAACCATAGTCTGTCAGAAGATGTCCCGAGACGTGACACCCTGGAAGGGGGGTAAGTTGTTACGGGCATGCCAAGCATTCACGGGAGTACGAGAAAAGGCCAGTAGATACCCCAATACTCTCTGTACACTAATGTCAACTCCGGTTCGCACCTACGAGGTGTGGTGTGATCAATATGTGACCAAATGCGGAGTTGCGGTTTTCCTAGTTAAAAAACACGTTTTCGACCCCAATCATAACCCCCGGAGCGTCAAACCGCCGGAGGGGAGTGTTTTGGCACCGGTGGATATATGAGGGACAGCTGGAATCAATCGGATCGAAGATCGGACCACCCGGAGCGAATCGGCGCAAGCTACCAGCCGACTGAGTACCTATCGGGGGTACCTATGGGCATGAGAGGACTCTGCCATGTGGGAAAGTGATATGGGAAGGGGCCTGAGTAGGTAGCCTTGCCGTCCGAGACCTCCGAATAGCCGACGCTGACGATTATCCGCCAGACGGCCGATGGAGAAGAAACATCGACAGGGAAACGTGCATTAGAATGGGTAAATACGTTGAGGGGTTTTCTGCGGGCTTAGGAGTTTGGGTTACGGATTTAGGAGTTAAATGTTCTTGGTTGTTTTTCAGGGTCTCGGGCAGGCCCCGAGTGTATTCTGTATTATTAGTAGATTGGGTCCTCGAGACATAAGCGAGGGATATAAATACTGTGTCATTCACTGACTAGCCAAACCATCATCGGCGAAATCAGAGTCTTAACAATATAAATCGTTGATACGCGAGTTACAACTTTATTTGACTATACTTTTGAAACTACTTTACTCTATTGTGACTTCGAACTCTACCTGAACTATTACGTCGAAGACGGTCGAATACTATACGCTAACTCTAGTGAATCTTTGTTGATAACGTAGCTCGCGGGGCCGTATCAGATCAAGGAGATTCATACTCGACGTTGACTAAAGAGACCTTGGAGACTTCTACCTTTGTAGCTGTTAGCCGAACTCTGAGCTCTGGGTAGTGTACTCTTGTGGTCTGGTACGCATCCCTCACAGGTAGGGACTATACTAGGGAAGTCTACAATAAGTGAAACCTCTACAGCAATGATTAAGCTTACACCTGAGCGGCAGCTCATTCATGTAGGCTCTCGGTTGTGTGGCAACCAAGGCTGCAGGTGTTACAAAGGCTTTGACTAAGGGTGGTTGTCTTGGGTATCGGAAACACCTGCTGACGCTTAGAGAAAAGCAGGGTAGCGGTGGTATTGTTTCAGGCACCGAGGAAAGACGACGCCGGAACTTAGTAAGGAGTTAGGAGCAGAGAATAGAGGCCTTCGGAGTATAAGTACTCAGGTTCATTCTCGCCCTTCAGTCCTGTTCTCTCCAGTCTTCATTAGAAAGAAAAACCAAGTTCTTATCAGTAGCAGAGCCCTTAAAGATTATTGAGTTCTAGCGATAGTATCTTTGAATAATTCTGCAACCTGATTGTCTATCTTGCACGGCCGTCTCTATTCTATCCGATTCTATTTCACTTAGAAAGGACCCCCGTTACACAAGAAATACGGTGCGCTTCTACCACTGTCCACGCCACATTCTGTCTGGCAATCGATCTCAATGGACTTCGTTGTGCAATTACTGGAATCAAAGGGATACAATCAAATCTGGGTAGTAGTCGATAGGTTCTTGAAGATGTCGCACTTCATCCCCCTAGTAGCAGATACGACCACTCAGGATTTAGCGAAGATATTCCTCGGTCAAATCTGGCGATTCCATGGGTTGCCTCTTGATGTAGTTTCCGACAGGGACGCCAAGTTTACTTCAAGCTTTTGGGCATCCCTTATGGAATTATTGGACGTGAGGATAAGAATGAATACGGCTTTCCACCTTCAGACTGATGGGCAAACAGAGCGAGTCAACCAAACCCTCGAGTACTACCTACGATCGTTCTGCAACTATGAGCAAGATGATTGGGCAGAGCTACTCCCGTTGGCGGAATATGCTTACAACAACTCGGTTACCACCGCCACGGGCCAATCTCCGTTCTATATCAATTACGGTTACAACCCAAGAACCAACTGGCCAACGGAAGCTGAAGTGGTCAACCCAACCAGTGACCTGTACGCTCACTTCATCCGAGGAATTCACGATTCTGCTCTCGCTCGGTCAACAGACACCAGGGAGAAGATGGGGAAATATTATGATCGGAAAAGGGACGAACCGCCTAACTTCAAGGTGGGAGACATGGTTATGCTTAATGCGACCAATATCAAGACACGTCGCTCTACCAAGAAACTCGATTATAAGAAACTCGGCCCGTTCAAAATCGTCTGATTAGCCGGTAAACGAGCCTGCGAATTGGAACTGCCACCACAAATCAAAATTCCTAACGTGTTCCACATTGAACTCTTGGAACGTTACCGACAGAGCAGTATCCCAGGCTGCGAACAACGTCCCCCGACTCCCGAAGAGGTCGATAAGGAAGGAGAGGTTTTATATGAAGTGGAAAGAATTGTGGGAAGCCGGAAGAGCAGAAGAGGATTAGTGGAATACTTGGTGAAATGGCGGGGCTATTCGATGAGCGACTGTACTTACCAAATCATGGACGTTATGAACGAAGTCGTACTTGATCTAGTCCGCGACTTTCATTGAAGGAACCCCAAGGCCGTGAAGGACCAATGCCTGAGACTATAGAGGTACCCTACGGGGCTAAGTCCTTCCACTCCACAGACACCACGGGTGATATATGGAGCAGGTTTACTGGAACCATAGTCTGTCAGAAGATGTCCCGAGACGTGACACCCTGGAAGGGGGGTAAGCTGTTACGGGCATGCCAAACATTTACGGGAGTGAGAGAAAAGCCTAGTAGATACCCCAATACCCTCTGTACGCTCATGTCAACTCTGGACCGCACCCGTGGAGTGTGGTGCGACCAATATATGACCAAAACACAGAGTCGTAAAAAATACTTTTTCGACCCCAATAATAACCCCCGGAGCGTCAAACCGCTGGAGGGGAGTGCTTTTGGACCGGTGGATATATGAGGGACAGCTGGAAGCAATCGGATCGAAGATCGAATCACTCGGAGTGAATCAGCGCAAGCTACCGGCCGACCGAGTACCTGTCGGCGGTACCTGTAGGCATGAGAGGACTCTGCTATGTGGGAAAGCGATGTGGGACGCGGCTTGAGTAGCTAGCCTTGCCGTCCGAGACCTACGAGCAGCCGACACTGACGATTATCGACCAGACGGCCGATGGAGAAGAAACATCGACAGGGAAATGTGCATTAGAATGGGTAAATAGATTGAGGGGTTTCTGCGGACTTAGGAGTTGGGGTTACGGATTTAGGAGTTAAATGTTCTTGGTTGTTTTTCAGGGTCTCGAGCAGGCCCTAAGTGTATTCTGTATTATTAGTAGATTAAGTCCTCGAGACATACACGAGGGATATAAATACGGTGTCATTCACTGACTAGCCAAACCATCATCGGCCAAATCAGAGTCTTAACAATATAAATCGTTCATACGGGAGTTATAACTTTATTTGACTATACTATTCGAAATACTTTACTCTATCGTGACTTCGTACTCTACCTGAACTATTACGTCGAAGATGGTCGAATACCATCCGCTAACTCTAGTGAATCTTTGTTGATAACGTAGCTCGCGGGGCCCATATCAGACCAAGGAGATTCCTACTCAATGTTGACTGAAGAGACCTTGGAAACTTCTACCTTTGTAGCTGTTAGACGAACTCTGAGCTCTGCGTAGTGTACTCCTGTGGTCTGGTATGCATCCCTCACATCCCTTCCATAGAGATATGAAATGCGCAAGCGACAACAACAGGATGATAACTGCTATGGTGTCCTGTAAGTATTTTACAGCCTGGCAAGCAACCCCCAAAAAATTGACACTTGTGGGTGCCGCTTTGGGGAGTGGCGAAGTGTGAATTGCCAGAATTGACGGTTAGTAAATACTCTCTAATAAAGTCAAAATACACCGGGGGGTGGTTACTATAAACTTTATTTTGTTTTATAATAACATTCTAATATTGTTAATTTCTCAGTCTACTCAAAAGACTATAAATGTTTATCATAAATCTCAATTTTTTGCGTTAAATTAAAACGCCCCCATTTTTGCCTTAGAGGGCAGGAAAACCTCTCTGCACTCGCCAAACTTGCAGATAAAACTTATTGTTCAATAACTTGATCACTTGGATTAACACTTGATTTTGTCTAGATTCGAAATCTGAAACCAGAACTCTTGGTTGTGGTTGTTCGAGGTAGTGTGTTAGCCCTAACCCACTCCAATAAGGCAATAATCACTCCTAATACCCAGTGCGGCGCCAGAGTACTGTGCAGTCGTCCGCCGATATAACGAATGTGCATATTCCAAAGTTTTCCGTTCGATACAGCAGATTATTCGGTTTAGCAGGCAAGTTTCTATGTGAAATTTAGATTCGGATCACCGAAACCCGTTCGTTATAGCAAATTTGTGGCTTTTTTGGCATTCGTTATATCGGCGAACGACTGTTACACAGTGAGGACGAACACTGGATGTAGACGAACAGGGATTTTGGGACAAATAGGAAACGATGGGAAAGATCGCTTTGGCAGCTTGGCTGTTTCTTGCCCCGTGAACGACTGTACTGTACAGTCGCAACTCGATATGCTGGAACTCAATGCACCGGATCCCTTGCTCTCCGTACGAGAACCTCTGAGAATATTATTTTTCCTAATGCAAAATCAATTTGCTATCCCGGGCTATCCCGTACGAAATCCTTAGAATCTTGGCAACCCGGCATATCGAGGTTGAGACATTATTCAGGACTCCATCTTCGATTATACTAAGGGTTAGGTGATGTAATGAATTTACTAGAATCTTCACGTGACCTATCATCATCGCTCACGTGACAGCTACCTGGATACAAACTTGTGGTGATGACAGGTTACAGAAGAACACCTGTCGTTTACCTCTCGTAACTGGGGAATAGATACTACACATTCCCAATCTGATCCTTTCTTTCCCTATTATACTTCACCCACTTCTGGAAATTACACTCTTCTAATTCGCATTCAATGGACACCGGTGTTCTTGGGGTAAGCCCGTGATTTAACACATTCTTGACTGGTTCCTAACTTACTTTATGTAGCGTCTCGCCCTCTACCTCGATACCCCAACTATCCCTTGGAAAGGAATGATTCTCGGATTCGGTGTTGCTCAATATCTTTTCGAAACCTTCCTCTCCATTAGACAGCACTCGAAACTCCAGGAAACAATACCTCCCAAGGCGCTGCAGGGTGCTGTTAATCAAGAGGACTATGACAAGGCGCAAGTGTGTTTATTCACAGTCCTTCTCAGTTTGATGAAGTTAACAGTGTGAAAAGGCATATGGAAGAGCAAAATCGAATTACGGTTTCATTAGTTCTCTCTACAATCAAGTTACAAATGTCGCTACTATCTACTTCAACTTGCTACCGAAGCTCTGGAACTTAACCGGTATCTGGGTTATTAAATATGCTCCTGCCCAATTTTCTGGGGAAATCTCCAAATCACTGGTTTTTTTTGTTGTGTTTAACCTCATTACCACGGTCATCGGTTTGCCCTTTTCGTACTATAAAACCTTTGTGCTTGAAGAAAAGTTTGGTTTCAATAAGCAGACGAAGAAACTGGTAATAATTCAGCTACCCTCCTCTATCTATATGCTAATATTTGCCCAGTTCTTTACCGATCTTATCAAAAACCAGGTTCTTATTATTGCAATGGGTGGCCCTATTCTTGCTGGGTTCTTGAAGATTATACAGTCGTTCGGTGGTAATTTCTTTTATTATCTCTGGGTATTCATTTTGGTTGTTCAGGCATTCATGATCACTGTCTACCCAATCGTCATCCTCCCAATGTTCAACAAATTGACGCCTCTCGAGCCTGGGAAATTGAAAACCGAAGTGGAAGCTCTTGCGACCAGGTTACAGTTCCCCCTGAAACATCTGTATGTCATTGATGGATCGAAAAGGAGTGCGCATAGCAATGCGTACTTCTACGGGCTACCATGGAGCAAGCATATTGTCATATACGATACGTTGATCGAGAAAAGCGATGTCAACGAGGTTGTTGCTGTTCTGAGCCATGAGCTTGGACACTGGAGTGAAGGACATACCACCAAATTGTTTGCTATCGCTCAGGTATGTCCCAGTAGTGATCTGAAGACTGGTTTATTCTTTCTCTGCCTTCTAAATTCGCACCCTACTCATCTTAACGAAAATCTAGTTTCACATATTTTATATCTTCGCGCTATTCTCCGTCTTTATCAATAATGGTTCGCTGTACCGCGCGTTTGGCTTTCACAGGACGCAGCCTATTTTAATTGGGTTTTTACTATTCAACGAGATCCTCCAGCCTCTCGACACAGTTGTTAAGCTCCTCATGAACATTCTTTCTCGAAAGTTTGAATATGAGGCCGATGCATTCGCTGTTAAGCTGGGATACTCCAGTGACCTAGCTAAAAGCTTGATCAAATTACAGGTTCAGAACCTCTCAACAATGGATGCAGACTGGTTATATTCCAGTTACCATTTCACTCATCCCATTCTCCCTGAGAGATTGAGAGCCCTTGACTGGAAAGGTGGTAAAGTTGAGTAAAATGCCGCAGCGGGGGTGGTGTCGATGAGTATATTTGGTTGGAGCATTAAAGGTATACAATATAGATTTGAAAGAGATGACTCTAGAGTATAGTTGAGATTTTGGGCACACCATCAAAATCAGTTTTGACCTATCATGTATGCTTTGAATCCCACCGGGTAGTTCAGCATTTCCTTCGGGAGGGGGCGGAGGGGCGGCGGCGGGTTGGTAATGGCCAATGAGAAGGAAATTGTACTTTAAACTTGTTTGAGTTGCTATTGAATTTTTTTCGTCGGTTTCCAGGCGGACTAACTATTGTTCTATACCACCAGTCTAAACCCTTGCGTAGAGATAAGATATCTCGTTGGCTGAACATCCACTGGCTTCAATACAAAAGTCTCGCTGAATCCTCGCTGCTCCTTCAGCTCCCCATACTTGACACTACCCGAAACTATTAAGACAAAACTGCAGCTTCCCTTCACGTCGAATTGCATAGGTTGAGCGTCATATGACTGAACATCGTAATGTGAGTCAGGCATAGAGGCGAAGAAGGCCGCGAATGCCTCACCACTAGCTATGGGGTTGCCATTCCAAACTATTGAAGCAGCCGGGTGATAAAAGGATGCCAGTGCTGTCCGGTCGGAGTTGAGGGCTGGATAATATGTTTCAACGAAACGCTTTGCTCCTATCAGGAAATTTAGGCCTCGTCCCAAGATGATGCAAGGCTTGAACAACGAACCTTCAGCTGCAAGTCTGATGTGACTTTCTTTGCTACTGTTGCTATTTGCCTGCGGGGAAATTTTAGTCTGGCAATATCCGTGACTTCCGTGGGATGCTTACCATTATAGGTTGGTACTTTATTTCGGTTTAGTTTCTACGTGATGCCCCGAGCAGGTTCGTTGTAAGCTTAAGATGTCAAGTCAATTGTCAAGGCATGTGGATGTAGATGTACTCTAGTGCTGCATGTGGGATGTATGAGGTACCGCTACCTACACCCATGTAAGTACGACTTAGAATTCAGGGTTAGGTGGAAACAACACAACTGGTACAAGTGTCGTAACGTGTCATTAGTCATCATAATGTTTCTGATAACTTGTCAAGCCTTTTTAGGCCTCTCGACCTACCCAAGCAGGAAATTAGGACTTCCGGGAGACGAAAAAAAAAGTCCAGGTCTCAAATACGCAGGTTTGGTACTATAGTAGAGTAGTTGCTATCATAAACCGTTTGGCTCTCATAGTTTCTTTTGTCATACCGTTAACCAAATCGATTTTGGCCTCTGAGGGGAACTGTCAACTTTGCGCCAATTTTCACCTGATTTGACACTTGGTAAATACTCTCTAATAATTGTGAATCATATATACATGTATATACATGTATATTATATAATAGGGGTATTCACCTCTAGAAATATGTGCCTTTGTAGCTGCATTACAATGCGGCTTATATGGCACTGAATTTCTCAAAGATCTGAATACCTCTGGAGTGCACATGCTATATTATAGGAGCAAATCTATTAGAGCATATTTACTAACCATCAATTCTGACAATTGACACTTCGCCACTCTCCAAAGCGGCATCCACAAGTGTCATTTTTTGGGTGGGTCGCTTTCCAGGCTAAAAAATATACCAAAAACACTTAGAAGACACCACAGTACATGTAGTTATCATCCTATTCCTGCAGCTTGCGCATTTCTTATTCCTATGGAGGGGAAGTGTCAATTTTGCGTTTTGCAACCGTCAATTTCGAAGTGTCAATTGTCAAAAATGATACTTAGTAAATACGCTCTAATAAGATTAGGTTGGTGATGCTTATTTTCTCCTCACACATATTCAGAATACGTGACTGCCAATTATTTAAGCGGTCCATATAAGCACATGCCTATAAGATCACGTACAATATTTGGAGGAGTACATGTACCTATATAGTCACGTGATCACTCATTAGCACTTGTTCGTTAAATAAAGGATCACTTAGGATTGTCCACGAGTGTCGTGAAGAAACACCATAGTCTATTCTCATCAGTAAACAAATATTGAAAGTTAAAAGTTTATAAGTCAGCTGGGACTGATTACATGTATATCGGTACCTTAAGTTCTTTAGCACTCTCCAACGACTCGGCCATCTGACACGGCCATTCGGTCACGTGCCCCAAAGATTTATCAACAGGACTCATCAGCTTGCTACATACTACTCACATAGGTACTCTCTGGTTAGGGAAGTACTTTTGTGTTATTAAGTACTCTACATGTAAGTCTGTATTCTACTCTATCCCATCAAAACCAGCTGCCTCTATCTGCAAGATCTGGCCAGTTGTGCAACGTTATGAATCAACGAGTGGTGTGCGATGTGAGGTTCTCTGTTCTCATGTGCATGAGTCCAACGCTGCACGTGCCAACTGTAAGTGCTTCAACGGCTTAACCACCTCACACTCTTTGCTAACTTCAGACGTATAATTTACCTAGACAGCTTAACAAGGTAACCCGGCTTCATAATAATCCTCATCTTTGTATAATTTCTCCACGTCTAGAACTATCCTCCGTATCATAATCCATCACATCAGCGAAAAGGCCACATTTATCAAAATACATCCGGGAACGGTATGGTCCAAGGAAAGGAGTTTGAGGCTTCTCGCAAAGCAGAGGGCGTCGGCTCATCGAACAAGAGCAATGATCCCCATCCAGCAGGCAGAGTACAATACAGCGGAGTACGGCAGTTCATTCGAATGTGCTCGTTCTCGGCCTACTTTATAGCGTGTTGTATAGTGTAAATCAAATTTATTCTCCCCAAGCTAAACATCGTTTTCCCTTTTAGATACCCCTAGATTTATCCTGATACTGATTGTTTGCTAACATACTTTCAATGATCCACCAGAGTACATCTTACCCAGGTACCTTTTGCCTCGTATAACTTCATCGTCTCATGGTTCTACGTTTGGATCTAATAGACGTTATCTACAGCTTGTTGGAACGCCTCTCTATCTAGTAAATAAATCCATTTACTATGCGTATATGTCCCGGACAAAACAAAATTTTGGCGTTCTTGTAACAACAATTACTCAGTGGTGGTCACCAACCGTTGTTCGCGTCACTGGAGATAAAAGTGTCAGGCATCAACTCAAGAGAACTGCAGATGGTCGATTAGAATGTGACTTTCCTGAGAGAATGATATTAATAGCCAATCATCAGGTAACCCTAGAAATTTCTAGAAGATATTATCACCGGCGCAATCTAATTATCTTATATAGCTCTATTCCGACTGGTTATACCTCTGGTGGATAGCGTATACTGCGCGTCTCCACGGATTCTTATATATAATCCTGAAGGAATCTTTGAAGCACATACCTGTCGTTGGCTGGGGCATGAGATTTTACGGATTTATCTTCCTAGCCCGAAAATGGGAACAGGATCAACCTAGGTTCAAGCACCGACTTTCAAAGCTCGCTGCAGGTGGCAGCCAAGAGCCAATGTGGTTGATGATTTTTCCCGAGGGGACAAACCTTAGTGATAACGGACGGAATGCAAGCGCCAAATATGCTGAGAAAGCCGGATTAGAAGATTTGAGGCATCTCCTACTTCCTAGAGCAACAGGACTGAGATTTTGTCTTGAGAATTTGATGGGCAGTGTTGAGTGGGTATATGATTGCACTGTTGCCTATGAGGGTATCCCGTATGTTCTTAAGCCCTTTCTTTTGCGTTACTTCTCTTATAGCTGGTTCTTTTTTTAACAATGAAGCCAAAATATCAGCCGTGGCAAGTTTGGACAAGATTACTTCACACTGTCTTCAACATATTTTCAGGGTCGACCACCTAAATCTGTGAACATGCATTGGAGAAGATTTGCGGTTTCTTCCATCCCGATATCTGACCCTCATCTATTCGAACTTTGGATCCGTCAGAGGTGGATTGAAAAAGACCACCTCCTTGAACACTATATGCTAAATGGTCGGTTTCCCGAAGATGACGACAGGTCCGGGTCAGACATTCAAACCACTGAAGAAAAAGCTGCCATTGACCTAAAAAGAAAGGTCAAGGTTGGCGGGAAAGAAAGAATAATCACTACCACAGGAGGAAGCTCTGCGAATGGGAATTGGGGAGGACCTATTGAAACGGAAGTGAAATTGAAGACAACTTGGGAAGTGCTCGAGATATTCAAGGTCCTTTTGTAAGCGACCTTCCCCTATCCTTTCTAACCCAACCGCTTTCTGTTTTCCGCGGGCTGATATACCTGGTGTTAGAACTTTGGGGTTGTTGTTCAATATTATAACGAAACTGTACCACATTATCAGAGTAGCAACGCTGGGCTTCACATAATCTTGTAGACAAAAATCGTCTTCCTTGTCTGTTTGATGACATGCGCTCTGTATTTGGTTCGGAGATGAGTATAGGTGTTAAAGGAACCTAGATTCCTACATAGAAATTTATCTTGCCTTGGTACAGAAATGACCGTTTTCCTCTGGGAATGGTCACCCTCTCTGATCCGGTTCCCACACATTTCATCCTATGACAGTGCACTTACGGAGATAGTGCCTCTGTTTGCATCGAATGAATGCGGACACGAGTTGAACCATGTGCTTCTACTACTATATTCCGCGGTGATAGATCTCTATACCCCAACCAAGCTTCCGGTAACCACTCCCTGGCCTGGTGAACCTGAAGTGGAACATCTATGAGGTATATATACACAGTTGAGTCTCTCTATAAGGGCACGGGTATTCTGCTATTGAGCTTCGTAGGCACAAATTCACATATCAAGGTAAATGCCCTATAATGGTACGACTTCACGCCATTTCTGTGTCCTTATGGGCGAGTCGACTATAGATATAACGAGCATGTAATCTGCGTTATATAGCCTATGTTTACCCAAGTTATAGAAACCACTCTTTCTCTTCCTAATTCTGTTATGGTTTTCTTTCCTTTCTATAACAATTTTCACCAAGCCTATTTGTCTCTGTCAATTAGGTATTGGGACTAAACCCACCGGTTTTAATTGCTCAGCTGGTCAGTATAATTATATAAATCAGATATTGATATTCCAACATCGTTTGTTTGACTGTTTGAGGTTTCTTACAATATTCGTTATTATTGTTTCTGACACCTTCCTATAATATTTGAGTAGGTACGTAAACATATGCATAAGGTATATCACTCCCTATTCCAGCCAAAGGGCGGTAAAAGGATGTAGTTAATTAAGTATGTAGTTGTAATCTAAGCATGCTTGAATTCGTAGCTTTCCGGCTTGGGTGTTAGATTGCCTTATAATATCCTATTCGAATAACGATCAGATTGGAGAATATACATGTATATCGCCTGGCCAGCTGGTCTGGGCAAGATAAAATAGATATTTTGGCGATGTTCTAGGTCGGGTGTTTGGGTAACTACTAGAAGCGATTTTGATAAATCTGCTAGATTTCTAATGCTACCTCATTAGAAACTATCACTGGCACATCAAAAGCCAACAGCAAAAATGTGAGGCAACCATCTTTCCCCAAATAAAAAGGGCTATTTTCTCTGTCTACTGAACACACCGCAATATTGGAAAATATGCTATATTGACCATTTCCGTTTCTTAAATTATAAAGTATTTGTGATATCGTGGTATTTCTATTAACGATCTTCACGCTATATTTGTAGACTCCGAAGTATTTGGATATCGATAAGCACTGGTGAATAAATTGCTTGGTGCGTATTATTTCAATTTTTCTTGACGTACCCTAGGTCAAACGTGTCCAAAATTTGGACCTGTAGGAAAGAAGCCTAGCCAGCCGGCCAGAGCTCACCCGGCAAACAAACTCCGTACCCCACCGAATACAATTTTCTTGAAGGGGGTAAAACTTCACTGACCCGATGGTTTTTGGTGAGTTAGTTAGCACACCCAAAGTCCCAAAGCCAGGCTTCTTACAGCTAAATTACGTATATATGTACGAATTGACATCAAGACATGATTGAACCAACTTACCAAGTACAGCACAATCTCCTTATAAGGGTACGTCGGGACCGAAATTTGTTACCCATAGAGCCGTTACCCTTATAGGAGGAGCAAATTTGTACCTACGAAGCCCAATGGGGACCCCAAACACCTACCCTTATAAGGCGAATACCCTTATAACCCGAACCCTTATAAGGAGATAGTACTATACATGTATCCAGGTACTGCACATAAAAATATATAGTATAGCTAAATGCGCCTATTCTTTTCATTAGGGGTATTCACTTCCTCAAATACGTGCTCTTAATATAGGCATATATGTACTTATACGGACCGCTTAAAATAATCAGGAGTCGCGTATTCTGAAATACTAGGGGTGCCTCCGGGTGTTACCCCCAGGTCACTATTCGCCCCGCTCCAAAAGTATGTCACGTATTCTAGAACTTAGACTCCTTCTAGCACCTGTGATTGATCTCCTACAGCTCGAGTACAGGTACCCGGGCCCTTACGCAAGCAGACCTTCCCATCAGCTCCGAGACTACCTCATCTTATCCTTTTGTTAGCCATGAGATTGATACCTGATGTATTCCATTCAATGGTGAGGGCGCCAGGTGCAGGATTAGGTTTTAGCGAAATCTTTTCGGCATATATTCTTTTGTAGTATAGTAGAGATATAGAAAAAAGATAAGCATCGCCAACCTACATATGTACGGCCTTATTGTCCCGAATATTGACCATATATCATGTGTATCATATAAAGGTGATTGGCTAGTACGCTAAGTATTTACAAATTTTAAAACAATTGCAATATGGTAACAGATTTGTTCCCACAATATGGCATGTGTACTCGAGAGGTATTCAGATTTTTAAAAGGTTCAGTGCGATATAGCAGCGGCGCTTTAACACAGCGTTATAAAGGCACATATTTCTTGAAGTGAATACCCCTATGGAATATTGGAAGCCGTCCCGTGGATATTCCAAAGGTGTTCAAATCTGATTACAGATCTTGCATATCACATCAAATTCTGTGGAACAAGACCAGAGCACAGAACGCTTCCTTATTCGACGGCGGAGAAAGAATAAGGCTTATAAACATGATACCTGTATCTCCAGTTACTAATAGTGAAGCGTCAATTTTCTTTTTAAATTTTTTTTTAGAAGATGTTGTGGTGTTGTTTTGGTCGTTTGAAGTATGAGAGTCGTAAGTAGACTGCCAGGTGAGTAAATCTGTAGACGCCCCCTGGGGGGGTCTACAGACAGCATTTGAACGCCTACAAACTTTCAAAAATATCCATGGGATGGCTCCATTAATATAATATTGTCTAAGCCGGCTAAAAGATATGGACTTCATATACTATATTCCTCTGTATGCCGTCAATTGATTCCAACGTGTTTTTTTTTTTAATCCTACAGTATCGGTGGACTAGATTTTATATCCCTTCAAGATTTACCAGACACACATATATATATACGACATGACAGCTCCTACAAAAAGAAGAGAAGAAAAGGCGCAAAGATCATCAAAACCGGGGTTAAGCTTTGTACTCGTGCAAGACGGTCGGTGCAAATTATAGCCGTTTGTCCACACAGTACTTGTGGTTTTAGCTCTTGTAACTATATTTAGCAAGCTAGCTATTGGCCATTGACGATGGGGTTGACAAAGAGATAGGTAAATTAACCGTTTAAATTCTTCATCAGCGCGGGTTCCAGGTTTTTACTCAACCACTTCCCATTTTATAATGGATAGAACATTTATGCTCGTGAAGTTCGAACTGTATCAAGGAGAGTAGTTGAATGAATCTATATGAGAAATCGAATCCTTATTCAATCCATGGAGACATCTAAAGAAAGACCAGTGTAAGTCCTCTAGAAAATCTAGACTTAGGAAGTGTATGTAGACAAATCCCCGGAGCAGTATTACGGCCAATGATAGAGGGGTCTGACGTGTAGAGTAGTTACTTAGATACAGTCGGATCGCACTATAAGGGTACAAAAATGGCGCGAAGTCGTACCCTTATAGGGAAGGAACCCTTATAAGAGATTGAGGGTTAGGGTTAGGATAGCATAAGGGAGTGGAGGATCGGAACGGAGGGGAGCGGAGGGAGCGGTGAAACTTTGAATGGCCATCCCACAACGGATAGAGGGGATACAGACTAATAAACAGGTACAGAGAGTTTAGAAAGTAGAGAAGATTACTTTTTAGTTATACTAAGTAGGTTGACAAGTACGCGCACAGAAGAAAATACTACCTCGTCATCACTTCTGCACCTTATTAATCCCTAACCCTACCTTTTCTATAAGGATAATACACCCAAAAAGACTTCTCAATTCTTACGGTACCCTTATAGCGGATATTCTGTGATTTACCCTTAAGTTTACATATTACATAAAATAAACAGCCCGCCAACCTGTACCCCTATAAGGCGAGAACCCTTATATAGGGTACTCTTATAGGGCGATCCGACTGATAGTCAGTCCCGATTGAGATAACTAGCCTAAGGTTGGCATGGATAACTAAATGTATGTACATACTTACTCCGAAAAGGACTCTTTTTTATAGCCTCTATAAAGTTTGTGTATCTCAATATAACTAAGCGCTTGAGTCTCCAGGCCTTATAACGCTTCTTTTTCACGGTAGTTTAATATGTATATACTACATCAAGTAGGAAATACTATAGACGCGGAGCCGGCCAAGCGTAGCTACAGTATTTTATACCAGTAATAGTCATAATCATTCTTTTATCTGAGAAACAAGTAGGCATATAATTGATTACATGCCTATCATGCATGTAGTACATCCTATATATATACTAATGACGCGTGTGTAATTGCGCAGCACAGCCCCTCTCTGGCACCGAAACTTCAACCAACGGTGATTAGTGTGAAAGATAGTGTACTCAATAATGCCATTAATCTGCAGGTGATCACTGGCTTAGTATCTCTCTGGAAGGAAGAAATCGTGATAGTAGCTGTTGTTAATATAGGAGCCCAATGAACTCAACAGCGGCACATATTTTTAGGGAAACAAAACTATATTTCTTTCTGGATAGGCGAGTTATATGAGAAATAGTTTTTATTTTAATTATTTGAGTGGTGGTGAAAAGCCTTAGAGATTTGCAATTTCTACTAGAGCGAGGTGTGGTTTCAAACTCTGGGCACTATACAATGGAATTTGTTGGGCCCATAGATTTGAACAGTAATTCTCACGCAAAAGCTCCCACAGCTCATGTGAAACTTGAT